GGTGCGGTCTGTCGGAGCCGGGGGATGTGGCTGACTTTCTTCGGCGCGCCGGGGGCTTGTAAGGGCATTTTTGCTGTAGGTGGCGAGATGCACAGAAGGAAGCAGCGCGCGGAGCGAAGCTCCGGCAGCCTCATTTCGGTCATGTTTTGCCGTGGGTTTTCCATGTTGATTGCGAATTGAGGATTCTCTGGGGAAAGGGCTGAATCAGCTTTTGCCAACTCCGACGCTGTGGTGTGGCGTGACCTTGATTGTAATGTGGGGTGGCCAGCAAGATGGACTGGGAGACATGAGTATAGGGTGAGGGAGAGTGCCTATCCAGTTCCGAGAATCAGAATGGCAGCAAAGCTCGACTTATATGCGTCATTTCGATATTTTAAAGTTTATTTATAATATCTGTCTTCAGAGGAGTGATTGATGAGCCAGCCAAGTGCTGTTCAAGAACAGAACAATTACAGTTTCTTTCTTGGAGAAAACACAGCGGAGACTCCACGTCTTTTACTCCCTGTTCTAAACTTAGTGACTTCCAAGAGATTAAGAGAGATGGGGTTTGTTTTAGCATCTTGTCTCTTGCCCTGAATGACAAAGAGGATTTGTATTCCTTACAGATTTACATGAACAGGAATGCAACAAAACCAACCTTCTTTAAACCAATGCCCCCCGTCGTAAAAATCTCTGCCAGCTCTACCTTCCTGCTGTCCTGCTCAAGTATTCAGGTAGCTAAGCTTGAGTTAAAACTGTAACTGGATTTTTAAGGGAAGCGCAATTGTGTAAAAAGAGATGCCTTCTGCAACCTCTCCTGTAATCAGTCAGTCAAGCAGACAAAAAAAAACTTGCATAAACATCTTTCTGGCAAACTACTCAGACTATCTAAGCTGCTCTTTCAAAAATAATTACATTTATAAAAATTGAAACGGGCTCTGAGAAATGCAGAAGCCAAGGGGCCCAGCCTTTCCTTGCAATAATTTGGAAGTTTTGTTGTCTTCTTCATCAACTGCACTTGTGCTATTGCCTGCGGTTCTGTGGAAGGGCAATCAATAAATCTGCTCATACTCGAGCTTTTTTTCCAGCTCTCCCAAAATTAGGATGTATCTAAGGCTCCCATCAGCAGGTACCAACAGGAAGGGCAGGTGTGGAGGCACTCACCGATGTGCCGGCCTTCCTGTGACCGAAACTCCCTCATGTTTTAATCCCTCCCATAACTCCCTTCCCTAGTTGAGTCGTACTCCTGGCTCTTATCTTCAAAGTCTCGCAAGCCCTACTCTCCTCAACTAGTTCAGTAATGTCCCATCATGTCGGTCCCCTGCCCCTGCTCCATCTACAGCAGCCATCGTGTTTTCTCATGTCTCTTCACCCATTCGTCCGTGCGATGACTTATGTGTGGCATGGCCTTCCCTCCCACATCTTTGCATTCCCTCCTCAGGCCCTGCCTTGAGGCACTTAAGAGAATCAGTCAGATGCTAATCAGAGGAGAAGCATTTATCTTACTAAAAAAAAACCAAAACCAAACCAAAACCCACAATCTTTTCTTATTAGCGTCGCAGCCAGCACTGTGACAAGAAGGAAGGGACGATTCTGTCTGAGGCTTTTGACATAATTAAAAAAAAGAGCAGTAAGTGTCATGATAAATAGCAGGGTCACGTTTTTTCAGGTTTCATAAACATGGATCTGGATTAACTCTGATGTGAATTATGCAGAGCCGTCCTGGGATTTACGCAGCGGTGTTGAGATCTCATCTCTGTAGACTGCTTCCAAGAGACAAAGCTCTTGCCACATCAGCAGGCTTTTAGAGGTCTCTGTGCCTTTTCAGTCAACTGCACTTTTCTTTTCAAGCTTTCCTCCTTTTACCTGATTTAAAAAGTCACAAGAGGGCCACCCTCTGGGGACTGTATTAATCCTCTTTTCCCATCCCACTCCATAGAGCATGCTTATGGACTGCTGCAACCCCATGGGACTCTACTGAAATAGTAAACAGCTCTGACCACATGCAGATTTATTCTTCCACTGTATGCAAAGCAGGACTAGGACCACTGTTTCTGAAGGAAATCTCGGATTAAAAAGAAATACGTCACAGGCACGAACTTCAACAGAAAGACTGCAAAAGGAAACCACCAGTTACCACTTTGTTTGCTTTTCCCTGGACATTTGTGGATCAGATTTTCATTGCCATGAATATTTAAAAACATTTGTCCTTTTTGCAAAGCACGTTCATATCAGATGCACAAATCCATAAAGCCAACACTATGTATTTTCAGAGCAGGGGAAAAAATGCAACATACATGTCCAAACTGGCCAGCTGCTGAGTGTGTTAAGAAAGCCTCATGGCAAACGAGCATCCAAGTTTTAGATGAGCCAAGGAGACACCTCCAACACCTGGAGGAATGGTTGGAAGGTGCAGAAGTAACAACTAGGGATCAAACCCCGTGTGGTCCATCTCTGGAGATGACCCCTTGCCAAAGCAACCTCTGCTCTGAACTGCCTGGCAGCTCAGTGTGTGTCTGGTTAGTCATTACCTGCAAAGGGCTTCCAAAGCCACTTTGGGGCCGTGGTAGTTCCGGCAGAACAACCAACCAGTAAAGTTTGAGGCTGGACTCAAATTAGCAGACCTGGCCGAGAAAGATCAGGCTCTTCCAACATGCCTTTTTTCTCCTGCCATCTCCTGTAAAGGCAGCTTACCTTGAATTGCAGACAGTAAGAAAGAAACATGGGGTAATTTATTTCATCATCCTTTGCCAGAGCAAGATTGTTCCCTAAATCATATTTTCTAGTGATTTGTTCTGCTTACCTTTACAAGACACAAGTAATAGCCTTCATTCCTTTCATAAGAAGACTAATAGACATCAACAGTGGGATTATTTTTTTTTCTTGAAAAGGAGCCAAATGCATTTTCTTTTTTCTTAATTCTATCTTGCTACTGTTAGTTAATCTTCTTGCAGCAGTCCTTGACTATTTCTCTCCTCCTCGAGGCCCTCAACCTCAATTCAGGTCTTTCATTTTCCTGCCAGATTTCAGCCAACTTATGATATCTTTGTGATTTTAAACTGACCCTCTAAGACAAACCCCGGGCAAGGTAATATCTGTGTTCCTACAGGTATCTTCTAACAACCAGACATTTTACTGAGTGACAAGAGAAGGTAAATAAAGAGGGGATAAAGCCCACGCTTTTGAATGTCAGTTCTTTCCCAACCATTTAAAAAGATCGTGGGGAATTTTGCGAAAGGTTCAGACTAAGGTATTGTGAGACAAAGCAATTTTTTTTCTTTTTATTTTAAAAATACAGAGGACCAGGGATTGGCTGGGCATACATAAGGTTAATCTTGTCTGCAAAGTAATGGAGAAAAATATCCACTAGTTTCTGAGGACACTCTATTACCAGCCTAAGGTAGGAGAGCCTCCAGGGATTTAAAAGCAGTCAATAGTTCTAAAAAAAGACAGAGCAAGCCTTTGGTTCTGGTTGATATTAAGTTAGAGCAATAAGTCAATGTAGCTTTTCCATACCAGCACCGTCTTCAGACTTAGGCACACAAAGCTGCTTCTGGTCTGCAAATGAAGTGGCTGCAAGTCTGCTCAATGTTACTCTTCCTTGTCTCTGTCTTCACCCATTGCACCGGCTCCTGTGAGACTGTAGGGAGCCACAGGATTCAGCAACCGGGGAGCTAGGTACGGGATGGTAATTGTAGCTAGGAGTTAAATAGTTGCTTCCTAATCAGCTGCTGGGGTCAGTGGAGAGCGGTTGCCATGCCTCCTCTGTCAGCACAGTAAATGTCACAGCAGTACAACCAGGAGCTACACCAGGTGTGCCAATGCCACCGTGTGGGGCGGGTGCTCTTCCTATGGGGCTCCTCTCGGGAGAGTCCCTAACACCCCAACCCAGCGTGTGAAGAGCGTTGGAAGAGCTGAAATGGCATGGAGGATATTCTGCTGCCTGTGATCACTTACTTGAAAAATAAATAAGCCTGCTTAGCAGACAGATTTATTACCAGCCATGAGGGATTACGAAGCCGAGTCACTTTGATTCATTAGAGCATTCAGAGAGTTTGTGTAAGTTCCTGGAAGCTGTCTGGGATGGTCTTTAACCATCCTCTTCCCGTTACCTGATGGTGAAGGGAAAAGTTGGAAAGCACTTGTGCTGAATTTGTTTTTCCCTATGTTTGGTAATAGATTTTGACAAGCTGTTTAAAGAACTGAGCCTTCTGACTTGTGCTGTGCCAAGCCGTGCTTCCAACTCTGCTACACATAGCCTCTTCTATTCTTTCTTTCCTCTCTATAATATTTAATCAACAAAGCCCTTCCTCCATTTCCCTGAGGCCAGAGTAATGCATCTTTCTGCGTTTAGAAACCTCCTACGCATGTGAACATGTCCTTTGTGCAGTGATGTTGTTTTAATTAGCCACGTCTCTCTTTTTGGCCAGAAATACATGAAATTACTGTGTACAGCTTTCCTGCAGCCAAGAGGCAGCACAGCACCCTTGGTGCCCAGCTGCGGGTGGTGGGATAGGCTCTCTGGTGGGGCTGGGGGGCTAGGGTTGAAAGGGGAGAGGAGACAGATTGCATGCCTGGAGCTGGCAGGGGAAGGGAAGCAAAACTTGGGCAGAAGAGAGGAGGGGAGAGAAGGCAACCCCGGGTGACCTGGGGATAGGCAGGGAGGCAGAAGAGGCCTGCCTGAAACAGGTCAGAAAGCATGGCATGAGACATCCTCTTTGTAATGACCAACATGTCGTGGAAAAGAGCTAATGAAGGAAGATGATGTTAGGCCAAAACCATTAGGACAATAAACTGCCCAAGACCAAACTGTGCAAGGCAACAGTTGAGTGCTAGCGTAACTATCCTCGGCTTCAGCAAGACACAAGTCTGTCCCAGGTGGTCTCCTAATCCTACATTCAAAGTGCTTGTTAGGTAACGTGCTTATTCATCTTTTAGGCTTTGCTCCTTAAAAGTTGTATCCGGTATTTCCGTCTGAGTATCAGTCCATTCAAAAAGAACTGGGTTAGAGACCTCTGAAGTTAACACCTCTCGGAAGCTCCTGTGATGTTCAGCAAATTTCCTTTTCATTAGGGACTTACTCCTCTGAATTTTGTAGCATTAGATTAGGAACTTTACTGATTATTCCTTAAATCCCTATTCATGTAAATATTACTGATGGTAAGAAACATATGCTGTTAATAAATGGTCCTTGTCATGACTAGGTCAAGCTATTGAATATATTGTATACCAGTACTGGCTAAATCATTGCCCGTGGCCAAGTGATGCCTACACTTGGGTGCTGCCAATGCCTACATTTGTGTTCCACGGTGCCTCATCTTCAGCTTTATTACTAGCCAACGCTGCATGTCACAGAGGCTACAAGTCACAGTTTCTGGCATTTCCATTTTGACGGTATCATTGCTGTGGTCTGCAGATGAGTAAAATGTGGGCTCCCTCTCTACTTTGTGGGAAGTGAAACGCTCCATGAAATGCTCTGAACATCAAAGCAAGGCTGGCAAAGCAGAGGAGAGATCTCCTCTGGCTTTCAGTTCTGCCATAAGGAAAATGAACATAATCCTGAACCTAACTGTCTTGTAATTTTTATTAGCTTTCTTTGGCTTGCAGCGATGACCCTGTGAATAATGCATGCTGCTAGATGGCTTTCCTAAGGAAAGAAGGCTTACGCAATCATATTGTCTGCCACTGCCCGCCTTCTCAGCCCATAATAACTCAGAATCCAGCCGGCCAATTTCAACCAAATTTGACAGAGTGAAAGAGGTTTTGAAGATATTGTGTTAAGTAAAAAAAAAAAAAAAAACCAAAACCAAAAAAAACACCAAACATGCAGGGAAGACACCTCCTTGCAGTGGCCTTAGTGAGGAACATGAGCTCAGTTCTCACTACAGGTCTGAGGTGCTTCTTGGGTACTCAAGTCCAAGAAGCGCATTCATGGAAAATCAGTTCTCACTATTCTGCTTCTCATGTAATGACTTGTTTCTTCACAGATCACTCAGGCTCAGGGTGAGCCCCAGAAGTCGTGCTCCAAGCCTGTAGCAGAGAAAGTCACAGAGAGCTGCCAGCAAATTTGCCAGTGCAGGCCACCTCCACCATTACCACCGCCTCCTCCACCTCCACCACCCCCGAGGCTGCTAGTTGTGCCGAGTAAGTAGCCGCTGGTACGGTTGTGGTGCACTGAGGGAGGGTGAAGTGACGGAGACTCCTGGACAGAGGGAAGGAGAAAGGGTGTGGGAGAGGGCACAGCTAGCTCATTTGTCATTTTCCATTTAGCAAATGGAGGAAAAAATGTTCTCGGTAGAGATGGAGATCTGTTTTCTGATCAATGAATAATGCTTGGCTTTTGGAGGAAAGCCAGAGAAATTCCCTCCTTTCATTGTATTATATATGATTCCCTAGCTTTAAATGGTTCCCTAATGCCCTAGCCCTGGGAAACGCCTTCCTACGGAGACCCAGCGCTGTGCTTCCCCTTGAGTTACATCACCTCCTGTTTTGCTGGGTGTACAGCTTGGAGGTCTGGGTGCCCCAAGGCAAACTGATATGCAAGCAGGCAAAAATTCAAACATTCTGCCTAGACCATCCTTCAGGTTTGGCTATAATCAAGACACCAGAGCCCTACTGGTTTACCACAGCAGTAAGTCAGGCTCACTGGTTTTAAATTGCTTACAGCTGTAGCAGAAGTCAGAGGTATGGCAAGAGTCAATGGCAAGTGAGCAGTTTTCCCACTAATGCACATACAGGCTAAGACTCTTCTATTTCTCTTCATACAAATCAGTGCTCCAAAGCCTTATCCAGCCCATCCAAGCTCTTCCTACTTTCCAGCCATGCATCCCCATGTCCGGCACACCTTGTGCCTGCAGTTCCTGCTGGCTAGCTCTGCCAGCTTCCTTCCACATCAGTATTCCCGTGATCCCTGATGCACAGATCCTTTCTGGAGAGGGATAGCTGTGTTGGTGGTCCCTGGAGAGGCAGTCCCTTTGCAGTGGGATGGAGCTCACTGGGGCTGGCTGGGTGCAGGGACATGGGCTGGACCCTGCGCAGACACTTAGAGGTCCCAGGTGTTTGGTATTCCAGCAAATCTCCTTAATGCTTCTACATTTTCACAAATTTGTCTTTCCCTAAAAGGCTGCCTATTAATTCGTCTCCCTGCTTAGATACCCTGGGAACAGCGTTGCAAATATATCTATTACCCTTCCCAGTGCTTCCCCCAAGGGAAAAGAAATCATTAGATAGCATCATTTGGCTGTTTGTCTTTATCAGTGCCATCCCCAGATGTGCAGAAGGCACGAAGAAGGCTTCTGCACAGCTTTTAGCCAGGCAGAGGACAGGCAGAATTTTGCAGTGTGTTTTCTGCCAGAAGCAGGCTTCGTATTTGTGCCACACTGCAGAAATTTAAGGCAAAGGCAGGAAAAAAACAACAGCAAAACATTTGGGAAAGGAAGTACAAAGCTTGGAAAGCAGAGATGAAGGTTTTTTATAGCAGGAAAAAAAAATCTCTTCCAGTGTTCAGGAAAATGTCATGGACAGTAATATTGAAAATTCCCTTGACTTTTAGCTCACGGTCAGAAAATAAAGTACTTTGCCACTCTGTTTTCTTGTACCTGCGGTACCCTGTTGCCCTGAGGGAGCTGCTCTTCCCCACACGAGATGTGGCAGAGCAGTTTCGGTGCAGGGACCAGCCCTGCTGCTCAGCTGTGCCGGGAGGAGGGCACGGCTGCCAGGCTGCTCCCCCTCCCTGCGCTGCCGGCAGGCAGCTGGGCCGGGTCCCTGGATTTGTCTCCTGTGAAGTGGGAAGGAAATCGTCCCAGAAAAAAAGAAGTCTGTTGCACATTGCGAAAAGAGGAAAGAGAAATCAAATGGGCCTGCAACTGGGATAGCCTGATGCTTACTCAGGCTGGATTGCCAGGTGCTAACCCAGTTCTAAAAATGAGCTATATAAATCCAGATGACTAATATTTAAACAAGTTATTTCATTTCAAATGCAATAAAAAAAATAGATTACATATTCCTTTCACCAGTAAGCTTTAGAGTAGCAATCAAGTGCCTCATCTTGAAAGATGCTTTCATTATTATCAGCTGTCTAGGCACTGTGATTTAGCCCACGTGTACGACGATCCCCATCCTTGTGAGAGTGAGCAAGCCTCGTGGTTAAATATTGATGTTATAGACACTGCTTTTAAACAGCATTCAGAGGAGAGGGCAGTAAAGGGACAAGACAAGCTATTATTAAGTTGTTGATGCTAGACTTGCACTTTGCCCTTTTTAAGCGATTAAAGTTAAGGACTGGGAAGACCTCTGCAAAAAAGCAGCAGCACAGGAGCTGCAAATTTTTTACCTTTACGAGGTACAGTGTCTGCGCCATGAGGCACTTCATCAGGCACTTGCCAAGATGCTGGCATTGCTCTCGGAGCTTTGTGAGCTACAAATGGCTACAGCCTGCCAGGCACTGTCCTTAAAAGTTCTTTTTGCCATCAAACTGAACGTTTTTGGAGGTTTAGATCATCTCTACATCCTTCTAAAACAGCTACTGTGTCCTCTCTCTCAGTCCCACCTGAATGTTTTGCAAACCCTCCTTGGATGTACAGGATGGCGCTGGGTAACTGTGAGCAGAGGAATCACTCCCTAAAAGGTTTTTGTTGTGCTTGAGGACAACTGAGGGCTTTCAGGAACACTTACGGTGCATTTAGTGTCTCTTCAGACATTCTGACATTGACAGGTTGATCCAGTGACAAATCTTTAGCTCTGTTTCCTGCAGATAGATTTATACAAAATCTGTTAAATTCTGTGAATGCCAGAATCCACGTATAATAACTGGTAAATGTGTTTACTCTGAGGGACAATAAGCTAATTCCCTTCACAGAAAATGGGTAGAATCACCCATAACTTTACAGTCAGCCTAAATACATGAGCGGTGGTAGAAACACCAACTCCCTGGGCTTTAGGAGACGCCTCACAGTTGCAGTTGTGTATTTACAACAGGAATGTGTGGGGTGTGTTTCAGCGCACCCTGAGGAGGCATATCATTCATTCAACAGTACAAATATGGGAAGTAAAATTAGATCATGTGGCCCATATATTTCCAAAGACGGAGCACAAAATTATGGACTGGTGAATTCAGAGAATGCCTCCGCCACCAGAACTCCAGGCTCCAGGGAAGAAAACATAGAGTGCTTTTGTGCTTCTTCAGCCAGGACCCCAGGCCTCCTTTTCCCACATTTCTAACTCCTTCACACAGACCGCTGGCGTTTCCGATGCCCCTTCCAACCTCTCTCCTTGCCTTCACTGCATCCGTTCTGCAGCTGTCATGGGATGTGCCCTCATGGCAGCATATCCATGTGCCTCTTCCTCGCTAAGCGGAGGACTCTTGGTCTGCCTCAGTGAATCCGTCTGCTTTACAGAACCTAGATGAAGGCTAGGATCAGCCACCCCGGTCCCTGTGGATGCTGGTTCTCTCAATATCGCTAGTTCAGCTTTGTCTCTTCCTGTAAAGTGGGACACATGAAGCGTTTCAGTTTTGAGTTTCCTGAGCTTCATTCCAGATGCAGTTTGTTGGCGTCCCACTGAGATACTGCTGTCTTGTTCAGTATAGATGTGTACTTTACTGAGGGCCTTCAAGGAGAGGGGCTCCAGCCCATGTTAGAAGTAACTAGGATGGTGGTGACTGTGTGACAAAGTGGTGGGGGCTGTCAGGAGACATGGTTGCTGAGCCAGTTGCGATTTCTCCAGATGGTCTGGCATATTGATGTTTCTGCAGTAACTCCTTATGCAAGCAGCAGCCTGTTCTTTAACCCATGCCTAGGAAACTGCTCACTGATGAAGTGAAGGGAAAGCTCATGAGGCTCTGAGGAGCCTAAGGCCAACTAAGCTTAGATGCTGACAGCAAAGAAAGGAGGAACTTTCAATGAAGTTGAGTGTGTTCCCTGGATGTGGCTGTAATGACCTGCAGGAGATAGAGATGCTCAGAACCTGGCCTTTAATTAGCTGTTTCTTCCCCCCAACTTCCCCCATCTGCTTTCCTCCTTGTTCCTGGATTTCAGCCAGGACTAAGGCAAGGTAGATGGAGTACTTGTTTAGGCAGCATTTCTAACCCAGCTTCACAGACCCATGAGATTAAGCTAGTTCAAATGATGTTGACCCTTCAGAATCTAAAAGACTGCTGTTGTCAACCCTTAAATAAATACTTTGCGAGCACGCAGCGTTCTCCAGGGGCATTGCAAAGAAGAAAGGACTTTATTTGGAAGTAGAAGCTAGGCTTTCAAAACAGGAAAGGGTTAAAGCTAGACATACACCACAGTCAGTATCGGTTTTAACCTGTGTAAGGTTTGAGGAAAAAACATTTCAGAAGTGACTTCTTCAAAATGGTACAAGGAAGAGAAAGGATGTTCAGTGTGAACTCCTCACTTGCTGGTTAGCAACATTTGCTGTCTCTGCCCTACCCATCTCCCACATTGGGTGAGTAGTCCAAGGTACTGCCGTCCCCTCTCTGGATGATGGAAGTGCCCAGTCAAGCATTTCTTCAGTCAAAATTTAGAGGTGAAAACTTAAATAAAAGCTTTTATCTCCGATCATTACAAGCTGTATTAGTACAGTGGAGTCTGGATACGTGAACCAACCTCTGACTCATTGGACGCTTGCCCAAAGGTACCCAGTGAGGTCTTCACAGCTCCTGACCTCAGTGAAAGTTTGCCCTGAGCTATCAGTTGAGATAAAGCACAATCAAGTCAGTGCAAAGCCAAAGTGAATGACATCACTGCAGAGCACTATAATCTCCAGGCTGTAATTGTATGATTTTGTTTTTCAAGGTGAAATCTTTATCTTTGGAGCTAGTGCATCTAATTAACTAATTCTTTGGGCTGGTGAAAATGCCAAGATAAAAATGACCAACTGCAGGAAGGGTGCAACTTTTTGGCAACTATATGAGCACAGATGTATAGCTTAATTTCAGAAAGTGTGCAGGGTCCCTTCAGTGCAAGTAGGAAAGCTAAGGACATTCAGATCTTTTAGGACGGATAGTCACAATGTGTGTATATAGGCAGGAATCTGAAGTACAGGAACAGTCTGGAACTTCTTAAACTTTGAGTAGGTTTTAAAGCAAATAAAATTTGCAGATTTGGCTTGGTGACTGTTAACAACATAGCCTTTCACAG